GGAAGCTAAATCAACAGGAGAAACCGGAGGAGGCTGCGGGGACACGGAGTGTCCGAGATGTCAGGATGTGACTCCGGTGGAGCACACGGGATGAGGGATGCCGGGGCAGAGAGAGAGAGAGAGAGACACGCACACACACACGCACACACACGCACGCACACACACATGGAGGGGGGGGCTGGGGGGGTACCAGCCAGGCACCCCCTCCCCTCTGGCTGGCTCAGATGGCCTCCACGTAGTTGGCCGGGAGCATGCCCGTGTCGCCCGTGCGCTCCACCGTGCCGTACATCCACCCGTCGTCGATCTGCTGCACGTTGATGATGGTGTCACCATCCTGGAAGGAGACCTCGTCTTCGTCGGCCGCGTTGTAGTCGTAGACAGCGCGGAAACGCTTCTGTGGGGTCAGAGGGGGAGAGAGAGAGAGGGGTCACAGACCCTCCCACAATTGGGCAGAGCTGCCACCCTTGGGAGAGGGGGAAACCAGGGCAAGGAGCCCCACCAAGCCCCACACATGTACCAAATCCAGGAGGTTTTCACCCAACGGAGGGATGCTGGCGCCAGCGGTAATTGTGGTGAGGAGAAACCAGGCACCCAGCATTACACCCCCTTCAAAACTCCTCTTCCTCTCCACAGGGGTGGGGAACAAGTGGGGCAAACTCTCAGGGGGGGTGGTTGGGTTTCACAGAATCTTAGTGGTTGGAAGGGACCTCTGAGATCGAGTCCAACCCCCCCAAAAAAAAACCCAAAAAAACAACAAAAAAACCCCACACCACACCAAACGCCCACCAAAAACACCGCACCCACCAACTAAACTGGGGGGGGCTGGTGTTGGGGTGGGCACCGTGGACCCCAGGGCTGTACTCACCCCCCCTCCAGAAGGAGCGTTGCGCTGCGTGGAGGCCGGTGCCGCGGGCTCCTTGTAGCCGTAGGACTGAGACGGTGGCTGCTGCTGCTGGTAGACTGGGGAGGTGGGGGGGCAAAAAAGATGGGTCCATCAGCCAGAGTTGGGACTTCTGGGGGCACACGAAGCCCCTGGCCAAGAGCTGCCCCCAGGACGTGTGGCCGCAGCCCCCCGCTCACCTGGGTTGGTGGGTTGGATGCGATGGGACGGCGGCTGCTGCTGCTGCTCCCCGGGTCTCCGGTAATTGGTGCTCTCCTGGGAGTTCCTGCGCTCCAGCTCAGCCCCCTCGCTGGGGCTGGGGCCCATCCTGCTCCTCTCGAACTCTTCGTGGTATTTGATCTACCCCCCCGGGGGAGAGGAAGGAGAGGTGAGACCCGGGACCGCTCCGCAGCACCGGCCACCAGCCCAGACCCCAGCGATGGCCACAGCTCCTGCAGCCCCTCAGACACCAGCAACGTCCTTCCCCTCACCCCAGCTCATTTCTTTCTGCCACCAAGGACTCAGCACCAGCCCCCGCAGTGGTCCCGGGGGGGTTTCCCCCCCTGATCCCAGGGACATTTGCTCAGTGGCACGGAAAAGAGGAGGTTTAAGTGTGCCTTAAACCCACCTAAGTGTGCCCTGTTCCCACCTATGGGTGAAAAATGCAATTTTCTCAGGTGTGGGTGAGATTCAAGACCAAGCCCCCAAGCCCGGGGGATGCAGGAGGAAAAAAAAAAGGCACTTTTAGGAAGTTTTTCCCCCCCCTGCACACACCGAGTTTCTGTGCAGCTCCCCAGAGGCTGCCGCGGAGGAGCATCTCCCCCCAAAATCTCTCTTTAACCCAAGCATGAGGGGGTCTCGGGGGGGTGTTTCTTTGAAGGAGACTCAAAGCAGATACCACCAAACACACCGGCTGCATCTGACTGAGCCTTCCCCCCCCCCCGGCCCCCCCAGCCCAGCCCCACAGCGGGCAGGAGGGAAGGGTTAACCCACCCGTGGGGGTGTGGGTGTAAAAATTAATAGCCACTTGTGTTAATGAATGCACTGCCATCAGAAAGCACCTGGAGCCCATTCATCTGCTGGTTAAACAGTTATTTAGTGAAGGAGAACACCCCGGGGGTGGGGGGGGGAACCCAAGCAGGGTCCTTGCTCCCCAGGACATCGTTCCCCCCCCAGTGCTCAGGGGCTCAGCCTTCGCACCCCTCCATCCCCAGGAGAGTTTGCCCCCATGGGCAGGACCATATGGGTCCCCTCTGGCCAGGGGGGGTGGTTTGGGGGACCCCTGTGCTGTATGATGGGGGTGGGCACCCCCCAGGAGCGAGGCTGAGCCGGGCTTTCCGTGGGGACTGGGTTTGTTTCTGTGTCTGGATGAACTGGGTCAGCACAAGCCCAGGCTGGCAGCCAGTTGCCCACGGGGATGTTGCCAAAAAGGGCTGTGGTGGCCAAGAGAGGGGTGAAGGAGGGCAAGCAGAAGGACATGGGGTGGTCTCATTTCCCTGCCCCATTATTTAATGCCCCCAAACCTCCACAGATTCTCTCTCTCTCAAAAAATAATAATAATATAAAAAAAAGAATGGTGCTTTCTGTAACAAAGACCATGGCAGGGAAGCTGGGCTCATCCCCTGCCAGCTCAGACCCCCCCGAGGAGCCATCCCTAGGGAAAAAATCCTCCATCCAGGTCCATTTCCCAAGTGGGAAGAGCCTTCCCCAGCCCTTGGTGGGGGGTTTGGTGGGCAGATAACCCACAGCCCCCCCCCGAAAGAGACCAAGAGACTGGGACTTGCCAGAGAACCACACAATGGGATGAGAAGAAGGGGGAATAAACAACCTCCTCCCACATTCTGCTGGTTGTGTGCCATCCAGCTCGGGGCACAGACACCCTCCTCCCTCTGAGCCCAGACCCTCCTCCCCGTGACACCCCAGGGGAGCAAACAGCAGCCTCTCCCCAACTCCCCAAGGGGTTTTGTCCCCAAAACGGGGATGCTTAAGGGTGGGAAAGAGAGCAGTTCGGGGCATGGCAGAGCTCAGAGCTGGAAGAAGGTCAGAGAAACCCTGGTGGAGTGGACACCCTGAGAGTTTTCCGAGGCAAAGGGGTGGAAACCAGCCTCCCCAGCCCTGCCTTGGACAAGGACCAGCGTGACTTTCACCAGCAGCCAAAGATTAATT